AATTGGCTCCCTGATATTTATTATTGCAATTGGTATCGTTTGCTATTTCCCCCAAAGCTGTGTGAGAGAAGTCAGCTTCAATCCCTTCTGTCTTAATACAAGATGCAACGAGAGTGTGTAGTGGGTTAGCAATGTGGGTGGTTAACAGCACAGACTTTGGGGGGCCCACCTCATAGCCCAGATACTGCTTCTGTATCTGTCAGGTGGGGGTAATAACATCCGTTACACAGGATGTTCGAGAGGATTAGAAGAATTGATGCCTATAGAGTGCTTAGCTCTCTGTACCTTTTCCTTTACGCTACTAATGAGAGAGCTGGGGCCAGGCACCCCTGGCTCCTGGTGGGACTGTGGACAAGACAGTGACCTTCTCTGGCCCTTGATTGTCCTATCTATAACACAGTGGGGGAGAGAGGGAAGTAAGGATTTGTTCAACAAATAATTACTGAGCACACACTATGTGGTCATCCCAGAGCCGAGCACCAGACACAGAGATAAAGGAGCTCTGGCCGTGTGCTGGAGGGGCCCCCGGGTGGCAAGAGCTTTAACCAGCATCAATGCTAAGCATTGTGGGAGTGCCTAGCACATGCCAGGCTGAGTGATAAGCACTTGGCACACTGAGCTCAATCAACATTCATAATAACGCTGATGACAATGCTACTGTCCCCATTTTACAGGTAAGGGCACTCTGGTGCAAAACCCCTCCATGACTTGCCCAAGGTCACACAGGCAGCGAATATCAGAGATGGGATTTAAACCTGGGGATCAACTCTGTGCTCTAATGCCCTTCTAGCACAAACATCACCTGATGCTCCGTGACCAGAGACACACTCGAGATTGCACCGAGGCCAAGATAAATTTCTGTATCTCCCCTCTTCTCCTGATGTTTTGGTGCTTTCTGTTTTTCTCGCCTCTCTTATCTCCCTGCACTTCCATCAATATTGTTTACATTGTCTACCAGTCACGGAGGTGAACATTTCCATTTTCTCTGCTGATACCATCCCCACTGACACTGCAGGGAAGAGACGAGCTGTGGTCCTGGAGCAGAAGTGATAACTCCAGTTGCTAACCTCCTTTCTCCAGGGACCTCAGAGCTGGGAAAGGTTCCCGACACCCTACATCAGACGGCTTTGAGCCTCTTCCTCCTTTATTAAGCCTCTGCTCATTTCTCCCCACCACAGAATGTCCACTTACCAACCAGGAATCATTAGTGGGTGGCTACTTTTTAACCTCAGACATTCCCAGTCCAACTTTCAAGAAAATGGGTGGTCTTTATACCATTCCCTCTGGGACCTTTTGCATCACTGAACCAAACATTTGGGAAGCTGCACAGCGTAGTGGCTGAGTAAGAACTCTGGAGCCAGACTGCCAGGGTCCAAGTCCTAACTCTGTGATTAACTACTCCTGTCACCTTGGGGATAGTTACGTCCGCATGTTTCAGTTTCCTGGCTGTTTTTCCAGGATGGTGATGGCGATGGCGACAGCGATGGTGATGGAGGTGGTGGTGGTGGCTCTCTTTACAGAGCAGCTGGGACGATGGAGTGAGTTAAAATACAAGTGTTTAAAACAGTGTCTGGCACTCAATAAACATTAACTATACCTTTTTATATGTCCCATGGGAAATACATCTCAAATTAAATTGCCTTCTAAGGATATATTCCAGTAGATAAGAGGGAAAAGAGGAGCTCCAAAAAATGGAATAGAAAAAGCCTTTTTACGATTGCCATGGAAGAGGAAAGAACGCACAAGTTTACAACACCGTATTGCTTTATCGTACTGCCCAGGGCGTGGTGCTTGCAAGCTGCCTCTGGGGAGACGGGGTTTAGCAAGTCCATTTTACAGATGAGAAGGGAAGCCATTTGTCGTGGGTCATTCAACCAGAGGAGGGACGCTTTGAGAGTGGAATGGTGATTTTCTGCCTGCTATCCATAGTGCAACTTGATGTTGTCTCTTGATTAATACAAACACATAATAAACAAACAACAGCCAACAATCCAACTCAACACACGGCACTTTTGAGTACAATTCACTCTTCTTCCCTCTGTTCATTTAATCTTTCCCAGGGTGTTCACGTTTTTCCAGGAATATTCAAAGGAGGGCATTCATTTGCCAGAGTTGGGGAGCAATAATGAACTATTAAAAGTGGCTTTGGCCCTGGCGGGTTTTGCTCAGTGGTTAGAGCCTCCCCCGCGGACCAGAGTTCAGGTACAGTTCCCGCTACGGGCACATACCTCGGTTGCAGTTTGTCCCTGGCCCCGGCAGGGGTCGTGTGGGTGGCAACCACTGGATGTGTCTCTCTCACGTTGATGTTTCTCTCTCTCTCTTCCTCCCTCTCTCCCTCCCACTCTATCTGAAGATAAACACACAAAAAAAGTCCTGGAGTGAGGATAAAATAAAAAAATAAATTTAAAAAAATGTGGCTTTGGTGAAGACAGCAAAGGGAAGCCGGCAGCATACACAAGAGAATAATATTTCCCTTCTGAAGAGGGCAGTATACAACCAAGGCCAGGTCGGCTCTGGTACTCAGGGCCGGAGGAGGCAGTGCAGTCCCCAGAAGCCCAGGCATCTTGGATTTCCAAGAGCTTATTTCTGAACGACAAGCACATCTTCAGACATGAAATAGGATTCTTGAAGTTTGAGCACAGTTACACGCTGTCTCTCATGGAGGGGACATTCTGCAAACTGATACGAAGGTGGTTATACAAGATGGATGGAAGAAACCCCGAGTTCTTTTTCCATGCTCTTGTACTCTCTACCCTCCCAAATTGGCCTCTATGAAACTAAACAATAGCGTGGCACCCCAGTTGGTCTCTGATGTTTGCAGAGCAAAGTGTTTCTTTTTCTACTAAGACCTGCGTGCAGGGTAGTTTCTGCTGCCTAAAGCAAAATACCTTCTCGCAAACATGTTTTGCACAGAAATAAAATGTTGGGAATAGGGATCTTAGCTCCTTGGATGCATTTATCAAGCCAATCACAGTAATTATAATTAGAACACAAACTAAGTGAAAGCGAAGCATGAAATACATTTGCAGTAAACCTGAACTGCATACAATTAAGCCCTGCTGGCTGGCATTTTGAGGTACGCCATAAATATATGTTGGGGGTGGGGAAATTGACTTTTTTCTTAAATATCTTTTGCTGGTTGCATCAAAGGCTTCAACAGCAGTTAAGAAGGAGAAAAGATTACACATTATTAATTGCTAAACTTAGAGCTGTAAGACAGATGTCCAAAGGTAGCTTAATTGGCTGTTTAAGACAACTTGTCAAAATATGTTCACTGGGCATTAATTTAACCTAGGTCTGTTTTAGGAAAGTGAAGAAGAGAATTTAGGATTTGGGGGGAATGATATACCTTCAATTCCTAGCCTCAGTTTTGGGAAAGCTCTAACCTAGCAGGGTTGAAAATCCTTCCATGGTTCCCCAATGTGTAAAACAGAAAGTCCTTCTCCTTGGGGGCCTCCACTCAGATATCACCTCTTTGACTGATAACGTCCGTACTATTTTTTTCCTCCCCTAAACTTTGGTTCTCTCAGACATTACAACATTTGTCATACTGTTTTGTTGTTGTTAATCCTCACCCCAGGATATTCTTCCATTGATTTTTAGATAGAGTGGAAGGGAGGGAGGGAGGGAGGGAGAGAAACATTGATGTGAGAGAGACACATGGATTGTCTGCCTCCCGCAGGGCCCCAGGGCCTGGGATCAAACCTGCCACCCAGGCACCCGCCTTTGAACATAGTAGGTGTCCAACAATCGTCCATATAAACGCTTGGACTTGTAGGTCAGAGTGTGCAAGACGGGAGCGCAACGTTTTAAGGTAGTAAACTGAGCCTGAAGTATTTGGTATTTTACAGGCAAAAAGTTGGCTATTTTCCGCCACAATTGTGAATTAGCTAGCTGGCTAATTGCTCCAAAGCGATCCTGATGCACAGGCTTCGATCACAGAAGAGCAGTTTTGAGGTTCACTTCTCCCTCCCGGCTGTAAAAGTGAAGGTGGCTCACAGTGCCCCGGGAGCTCCTCCCACCCCTACCCCCACTTTCACCCCTTTCTTCCCTGGGGCTGGACTGTTTCACCTCGTCTCTAGGCAACCGCCAGGCGCGAGGAGGGACGTCATTTCCTGAAAAGCCCGCGGGGAGAGGGGGGTGGGAGAGGGGGAGGGGCAAGGGGGCGGGGCCAAGGCTGGGCTGGCGACGGCGACGGCGTCGGAACTCGCTGGAAGATCGGCCCCGGGCGGCACAACAGTTCCCAAAGTCTGGGCTCGCGGCCGCGCGGCTCCGTCTGTGCTCGGGCGGTGCAGGGGCGCGGGGATCCCCGGGCTGCTGCATCCCGGGGCTTCCCCGGACATGCCCCGCACCCCCTGCCGGACGTCCGCGCGGCACCACCGGCTGCGATTCGGGGGGGCTCTGGGACTAGAGGACCTCTATCCCAACTTATGATTTTGGGGTCCCCCAGCCCGACAGGAACGGGCGGCCTGGCTGGGGGAGCCCCGGGTGCGGTGTGACGGGACGGTCAGCTTTGCCGCGCCCCCCCCCCCCTCCAGCCACCCGTCGTCGCTGTGCCCTGCAGAATGTAACTGCTCTCGTGCGTCCCCCCCGGACTCCAGCCGCAGTCTCCACGACCTCCCGGCTCCAGCCGCCAACTCCTTGTCACCCGCGACTCCGTCTCCTCCTCCACCTTGCCGGGATTCCAGTCGCCGTCTCTGAGTCCTCTGGGCTCCCGCCGCGGCTTCTGCGCCCCGCAGCCTCCAGTTTCTCGACCCGCTCTGTCTTCGCGCGCCCGGAGCTCCAACAGCTGTCTGCTCGATCCCCCCGGCATTCAGACACTGTTTCCGCACCCCCAGACCCGGACTCCAGGCGCCGTCTTCGTGCCCCCCGCCCAGCCTCCAAACCCAGCCTCCGGCCCCGACCTCCGTGCTCCCGGGATCCAGCTGTCTCACCGGTGCCGGCGAGCGCAGCAGCTGCCCCACCGCGCGCCCGGAGCCCGCCCGGGCCTCGGCGGGGAGATGAACGCACAGCTGGACGGCCTGTCGGTGAGCTCGTCCTCCACCGGCTCGCTGGGCTCGGCGGCCCGGGCGGGCGGCGGAGGGCACGCGGGGCTGCGACTGCTGTCTGCGAACGTGCGCCAGCTGCACCAGGCGCTGACCGCGCTGCTGAGCGAAGCCGAGCGGGAGCAGTTCACGCACTGCCTGAACGCGTACCACGCGCGCCGCAACGTCTTCGACCTGGTGAGCACCCTGCGCGTGCTGCTGGACAGCCCGGTTAAGCGGCGCCTGCTGCCTATGCTGCGTCTGGTCATCCCGCGCTCCGACCAGCTGCTCTTCGACCAGTACACCGCCGAGGGCCTCTACCTGCCCGCCACCGCCCCCTACAGGCAACCCGCCTGGGGCTGCCCCGACGGTGCCGGGCCCGGGGAGGTGCGCCTGGTGAGCCTGAGGCGCGCCAAGGCCCACGAGGGTTTGGGCTTCAGCATCCGCGGGGGCTCGGAACATGGCGTGGGCATCTATGTGTCTCTGGTGGAGCCAGGCTCTTTGGCTGAGAAGGAAGGACTGAGAGTCGGGGACCAGATTCTGCGTGTCAACGACAAATCCCTGTCCCGGGTGACCCACGCTGAGGCCGTCAAGGTAGGGTTCTGGTTTGGGGATGAGTTAAGGACAGAGTGGCGCCGCAGCTCCTCGTGGTGGCCGGTAGCTCCATGCTGTGTGTCCTTAGGCAAATCACTTGACTTTTCTGGGATCCATTTTTCTTCAACATGTTTCTTTAAAAGAGAAACATCTAGTTTACTGAGCAAATGGATGCCAGGAACTGGGATATAGTGACGGCAAAGCAGATCCGGACCCTGCCTTCTTTGGGCATAAAGGCTGGTGTGCTGGGAGACAGGCCTTATCAAATACTCGGGTAAATGTATGATCACAAAGTGTGAAAAGGGTTGTGGATTCCTATGATCATTAAAAGAGATAAGGTCTCCACTGGCATATGGTTAGTAATCAGTGGGTGTCTTCTGCTTCTGCTGTTATTCTCATTATTCTGTAGGCTTTTACCCCAGGAAGAAAGTTTTGTTGGCTCCAAGTGGCCGGAGGAAGCTGTCCTGATGATCCACAGAGCTCTGGCCTAACCCCGCTGCTTGTGGACCAGGATGTGTTTTCCAGGACGAGCCATTTGTCCTCTCAGAACCTTTAGTTCTCCACTTGGGAAATGGGGCACCAGGACTAGATGCGTCCCTAACCTTGTTGGAAGTGAGGCCCCTGCCTGAATGTCAAAGACATATCCCCTCACTCCCTTGATAGTAGTTGTACTTTTTGTGTCTGTCAATTGAGAGATATAACTTAAGGACAACAGGGTTCTAGGGATTTAATCATGCTGTTTAAAGAAATGTGTGTGTTTGCTAATCTCATCCCCAGGTCTTTTGAAAACCAATTGGGGTATGAGATGGATAGTGTTGGTCTGTGTGTGGATTCAAGGATACCTTGCAGTCCTTCACACACACACACACACACACACTCACCTTCGTGTGCAAGAATTGAAGAGTTTTGGGGAAAAGGAACAGTGACACACTCTGCTTCCACAAGTACAGTGCTTCCTAGGGTTTTGGGTTGGCCTGTAACCCAGCTTCTCACCTCCTTGCCCCTTGCCCCTGCCTCTGGTCCTCCTCAGTGCAGGTGTTTTGAACTCCAGCCCAAGGCTTGCTGGCTTCTGGGAAAGCTTAGGCAACAGAGGTCCAGGGCTGCTTCCTGTGTACTGTTCAGTGACCGACTATTCGCCTGGGACACGATCGTCTCATCTCTGACCTTGGCCGTCCCTTATTTGCCTCGCAACCTGTCTGCCCCTTCGGGAGGCCCCTGAGGATTTTGGAAACGTATTTGCTGCTTCCGGAAAAGGCTGATCGGTTACTAGCGTTGAGGGTGTGGGTGCACTAGAAGAAGCTCCTTGTGGATTTCCAGGCACCTGTCCCCCTCTCGGTCTCCTCTCCCCACATTAATCTTTTCCCTTTAGCTGACATCCATGTATTTATAAAGAAATAATCCATTAGCCTTTGGCCCTAAAAGGTCTGGAGTTCCCAGATGATAAATTTATACTCGAAAGATACTTGGCCCACATGCTCATTTATAAATGTGGATTCAATTTTAGTGGCAATTAAAAAAAATACCTGAGTAACTTAATTATCACAAGGTGAAAGACTTTGGGAAGGCCTCAGGTAACCTGGACATTAGAAACACAGACTCCTAATTCAGCCCCAGGCTCAGCCATGCCTATAAGGCTGGAGCTGCTTGGTTGAGAGTTCAGTTCGCCCTCCTGCATTTGGTCAGTTACGCTCTGCACCTCGTGTCTGAACCTCCCTGGACTGTACACCAAGGTGCTGTTACGCTGCTCACGGCAGCGCCAGGCCTTACCTTGACTATTTACTTTTCTTGCTTCCAGAGTAAAACCTGGACTGTCCATGGCATAGTTTTTGAAGCCCCAGAACGAATTCTCATCAGAGGGAGAGGCTGATAGGAGCAGAACTGGTTGGGTGGGAGCCTGTGTGAGCTGAGCAGCCCCTCGGCCCCTGGCCCCTGGCCCTTTTCCTGCAGAGGCGCCCGCTAAGGCAGAGAGAGCTCCTGTCTGCCAGCGCAGACACATGACCTGCCTGGAATGTACCCATTGGACCCTCCAGCCAGAAGCAACAGGCAAAATGGGTGCTGCTTCGTGTCACCTAAACTCCAGGGAGGAAGGGGGACAGACTTTCCGTGGGTGGAATTTAAAACGGAGGAGGCGGAACCTGTCTCTGGCCTTGAGAGTGGCTCCGCCTCCGGGTTGCAGGGTGCGCAGGCCGGTTCAGGGACAGTTTAGAACACCTGGAGCTAGTGACACATTTCCACAAAATTAAGGGTACTCAGTCCCTTAACGGAAAGCTGAAGGAGGCCTGGCTTCTCTCCCAGGTACAGACTGCCCCTAACCAGGGTTTCCACTCCCAGCCCCTTCGTGAGCTGCAGTGCAGGAGGGCACATTCCTAGTCACCGAACTCCAGCCTTCCTTCAGAGGCGACCGGGTTTTCTGCTTGTATCGTTTTATGCTCCAGGACACCACATTTAGTGGAAGATGTGTTTTCTTTTCTTCTTCTTTAATTGTATTTTATTTAGTTAGAGTCGTCCTTCTGAATCCATGGGGGATTGGTTCCAGGACCTTCCACAGATACCAAAATCTGAGGATGCTCAAGTCCCTTAGCAGATCTTTAAAAAAAAAAACTTGTTTTTTAAATGTAAGTGTAGTTGGTATTCAATATTATATTAGTTATACTAGTTTCAGGTGTACAGTATAGTGGTTCGACATTTTTGTATCTTGCAATGTGATCACCCTACTAATGCTAGTCATCATCTAGCAAACTTATTGCAATATTATTGACTATGTTCCCCCTCACATTTTTCATCCACTCTCCACCCCTCCCCCTCAGGTAACTAACTATCCACTTGGTCTGTTTCTATGAGTCTGTTTTCTTTTCTTTGGGTTCAGTTTCTGAGGATAGAGAAGGCTGCTTGCTTGCTTGTTTGTTTATTTTGCTTCCCCCTCCAACTTTATTGGGTATACCTGAAAAATAAAAGTTGTATGTATTTAAGGTTTATAATGTGATGATTTGATATACCTATATATTGTAAAGTGATTACCATAATCAAGCTAGTTTGCATATCTATCACCTTACATATTTTATTTTTATGCTAAGAACATTTAAGAGGTACTCTCTTAGCAAGTTTCCAAGTATACAATATAGAATTGGTAACTCTTGTCATTATTTAACTGTGCATTAGAACTTATTCACCTTATAATTGGAAGTTTGTACCCTTTGGCCAGTGTCTCCCCATTTCCCTCACCCCTTAGCCTCTGGCCACCACTATTTTATTCTCTGCTTCCATGAGTTTGACTTTTTTAGGTTCCACATGTAAGTGAGATCATTCGGTATTTGTTTTTCTGTGTCTGGCTTATTTAATTGAGTATAATGCCCTCCAGGTTCATCCAGGTTGTTCCAAATGGCAGAATTCCCTGCTTTGTTCTGGCTGGATACTATTCCACTGTAGGCCGCTTTCTCCTTTCATCTGTCAGTGGTCACTTAGGCTGTCTCCATGTTTTAACTATTAAGGAGATGTGTTTTCCATCTTGAAATGTTTGTTGTTCTTCTGCTGGTAGAAGGAGGTAGGGAAAGATCTGGGCTTCCCAAAGGAGAGATTAATTGTATGTGTGTAATAAAAAGAAAATTAAATGTTAAGAATCAAGTTACTTAAGAGTTTATGAGTCAGGCTTTGGCCGGTTTGCTCAGCGGTTAGAGTGTCAGCCTGTGGTCCAGAGAGACCCGGGTTCGGTTCCCGCTAAGGGCTCGTATCTCGGTTGCAGTTTGTCCCTGGCTCTGGTTGGGTCATGCGGGTGGCAGCCACTCGATGTGTCCCTTTCATGTCGATGTTTCTCTCTCTCTCTCTCTTCCTGTCTCTCCCTTCTGCTCTATCTGAACAAAAAATGAAAAAATGTCCTCGGGTGAGGATTAGAAAAGAAAAGAAAAAAAAAAGAGTTTATGAGTCAGAGCGGGTCACCTCCTCCCAGTGAAGAAGGAGATTGAACACACAGCGGTTTCCACGTCTCTCTCTGACAAGGAAGCACCCATTGTCACCCGGAGCAGATCAGTGGGTTTCATCCTGTGTCCCGTGGGGCTTCCGTCCCTCTCTTCAAGCCTATTTGCTAAATCAGCAGTGACAGGTCCAGATAAGGCCAGCCAGTTACTATTTGCAATTATATTGAAATGTTTGATTTTTGAAAAATCTGTCTCGAATGAGCAGGAGCCAAGCTAACAATAATAAAAAAGGGGTTTCGGCCAAAAATGTTGGATAAATTGGCCAAGGAGTCCACGGACCAGGAATGCTGCATTGGACTTTGCCGCACACTTGCTGCGTGACCTTGGGCCAGTCACTGACCCTCTCTGTGTCTTAGGGTGGGTGGGCTAGGGGCTGCCAAGGCCCCTTCCAGCTCAGACAGCCAGTGATTTGGTCCGTAAGTGCTACACAGAAGGCATTTGTCTAATGCAATGTTTTCTTGTTCTTTGGAATTGCTTTCGTTTAAGGCAGAGTAAAGAAAGTTGGCTAAGGATTGGGAGATCAGAATCTTGGCACTCTGTGTAGCCTCCTACTAAATCAGGAAATTGATGGGTTACACACTGTACTGACGAGAACTTGACTGTGGTCCCTGGACCCAAGAACACCAATCCTGATGCCATTCCAGAGTAAATGAGAAAACGGCAATAGGATTATGCATGCCCCGCCCTGGGAGCATTCAAAATGAAATTCACTTACCCACTTGCTTTCTGAGTCCCTGATTCTGCAGGTAGCAGGTAGCAGGTAGCAGAACGAGGTGGGGGTGGAGAGTCCGGGTGCTGCTGGGACGTTTGTACGTTTGTGTGTGTTTCATATTGATAAAAATTAAACGGCTTCCTTACAGTCTCTGCATCCCTCTGAGTACATCCAAGGAGCATATTAAAATTTGAAACGTTCCAGAAGTTAAAAACAGTGGCCGGCCCTTTCACTTATTTAGAGTTAGCACACCCTCCCTTCTTTTGCATAATAACCCGGGAAGAATCTGTTTGTATTAACATGTCATTGTAGTTGGT